TGAAAGGGAGGCACCTATCCTCCATGGATGGCCTTTGCAGGGGTCCAAGGGCACTCGCAACGATGTGGTGGATTGGAGCCTTGAAACACCCAATCAAGGAACTGCCCCCAGTTTGTTTCAATTTTATATGCAACACATCACCGATATAAGCCCTTCTCTCCAGCAAATTACCAAGGTGCTTTAGGATTAGCATCAGTTAATGCAGATAATTTAGTGTTGACAACATGGATGTTGTCATCAATTACTTTTTATAGCCTCTGATGACTTATAGTAGACTCCCTAAGTACAACACTTTTCATATGCTGCAACATGTCAAAGTTCTGATAGCCAAATTTACATGTCCAAGTGACATTCCTCTCGATGGTTTTAATGAATTACATTTTTGTTTGCTATTACCTGTCTCACTCATTAAGGATTCAATCACCTTACTGCTTCTGCACTGGACAGAACAATGAGGGGTTAAAATGCTTGCAAAACACTTGAAAATCAAGCACAAATAGCACTTTGGTCCGCAGTATCTTGAGACTGAGGTGCACCTACCAGGAGTAAGATAACTGTGAGCCCACTAAACAGGCCATGGTGGAAAGCAATACAGTTGTGCTTTTCCTCTGATACTAGTTTCTAAGAAAGATCACTGGAACAGAGCTTCTGAGGTCAGCTATAATGTAAAGTAGGATGAGTTCAAACGACAGACTCCTGCAAGTTAATTAGAACAGCTGAGCCAGGCACCATGGAGCGCGTGTGAACTGGGAGCGGCTGTGATAGTGCATAATGAAGCAGAAGGGAGCAATCGAGGGAGACATCAGGCCTGAAAATGTGAGACGTGTTATCATTCCTGGTGGCAATGGCAAAGGCTTGGCCTACTGCTGCATCCCTGGAGGGTGGGGATGCAGACTTCATTTATTTCTTGTCCTGAAATCCAGGAGTTCTTGACAGCTGAGTAAGAATGGAGAGGAAGGGAGTAACTCAGATATTTAGAAGAAACAGGTAACATGCCAAAAGATGGAGGGGAAAAAAAGGGCAAAAACTTGTCTCTACAGACTCTTTCTGGACCAGCCATTAGTAGTGGGAAGAATTCTTTTAATTTTGAATAATTTTTACTGAGATTGAAAGGAGACACCAAGTATGAGACCTGGCCTCTAGTTCTCAAGATGTTGGCTAGTTCTAGATTCCATGGTATCTCTTCCAGACATGAAAATGGGCTTGCTAGCACAGGAAAAATACATATATTAATAGAATGCAATAAGCTATGGAATTAGGATAATCTCAAGGGCCCAAACACAGATTTGTTATAAAAATGAATTTTTCCACCTGATTACTTTTTTTTTTGCTACAATTTAAATGTATCCCAGACTTTAGTTGAATGCTTGCACAAAGGATTCTCCTTAAATAAGAGTGGGGTGTGAGAAGAATGCTGAATTCATTGCAAGCTTTCCTACTGGGGTGAAGATATTTCAGAAAGAGATAGAGGTGATAGTCGCACACGCTGTGACTATCCCAAATGCCATGCCTTGCACCCTTTAAAATGGCAAATTTTTATGTTATGTGGATCTTCCCTCAACTATAAACATGGCACAGCACTGCTGGGATACAGTGTCCTTAGCGGATTCTGTTAAGTATCTGTAGTTTGTATTCTAGTGCCCTCTGACTGTGCTTGACCTTTCCCCCAGAAAACGCTGCAAACTCAGGGTGAAATCTCCTTTGTCCTTCCGAAGCCTAGGGTTGCTGGAAACATGGAGAGTATTTCCAAAACGCCGGGCCGGCCACCCAGGACACTGGGAGGTAACCCTTTGTGCGCCGCGGCCCTCGTCGGCGGGGCGGGAGGGGGTGCTTTGTTGTGACCGTGCTCTCCTTCACGGGAGAACCGCGCTGACACTGCTGCCCTTCGGGGCGCCTGGCCCCTGCCCGCGCACCTCCAGGGAAGGGCTCGGGTCTGTCGACTGGGTACCCTGCCATTTAGCACGTTCAACCCCTAAGCAAGAGGAGACGCAGGGCAACAGCAGCCGGGCAGAAAGCTCCGGGCGCTCGGCCCTCAGGTCGCCGCGGAGGACACCCCGGCTGACACCCCGGCCTGTACTCCCGGGTCCCCGCGGCCGCCGCACAGCCTGCCGGGAAACGTAGTACCTGGACACCGGGGGCCTGCGCGGCAGCCCCGCCCGAGGCTTGTTGATCGCTCCTAACGGGATGCAGGAAGGGACAGTGGCAGCCTGGCGCTCGGACGTGCCCGCGTGCTGCGGGGCCCTGCTCCTCCTCGCCGTGACCTCCCCTCGCAGGAGACCGACAGGGGACAAAGTCAGGGGCCTGGCCGCGCGTCGCGGCACTCACCAGCGTGAGGGCGGCTCGGGTGGGCTGCAGCTTCCTCTTGCTCACAGCCCGGACAGTGGCCCGGACTAACGAGGCCGACATCTTCGCGGTCCCGGCCGCCGGCGCCATTGGGCGGGCAGCGTGAGTGACGGGCCGAGGGGCGGGGCCTCGCGGTGCCAGGTGGTGAGGCTGCACGCGCGCCCAGGCTGTCGCAGGCCGCCGGGTAGCGACGCAGGTGGGTGCAGGGGCCGGAAAGCAGTGTCGTCGCCGCCGAGCGCTGAGCCGGTGCGACCTCCGTCAGCGCTTGAGAACTCCTTCAGCACTTCCCACCGGGGAACGGGGCTGGGGACGCCTAAACTCCCGACCTTTCTGACTGCGGAGGCGCGGCGCTTAACCACCTGGCATCCGATCGAGGTGCGGCGCCACCACTTCCGTTAATGCTTCCGTGGCACATAGTAATAGGCTGTCGGGGCTCAAAAACAGAAGAAATCCTAGTACCGAGAGCAAGTTGTTTTCCAAGGCTGAGTGGTTCGGGTGCCCAGACATCTACAGACATTTCTGTTACTCGTTCAAGGTCTACCTAGGTAGATTTGGCAGACCAGTATATGCCGTAATGGTTACGTCGCTGGACTTCCACCTAGTGGTCCGTGGTTCAGATCCTGGACTCAGCCGCTTAAAACTCACGCTGGCCGCAGGTGGGTGCGTGCCAAAAATCCCGAGGAGAAGGGATTGCAGCGCAGCTATCCCCCTCTGAGGGGCGATTTCTCGCTTTCTGCCTCTCTCTCCGTCTCTCTGGGGAACACACGTGCCCTCTACCAAAAATGTAAGGGGGCATACAGAGTTACTGCAGAGTTATATAAGGAACAAACGTCCATCTCACCTGAGCGCGTTGTGCTGCTGAATGGTGACTAATTCGATTTTCTTTTTAATGCTGAATTTGAAGCCCAGCCCTAGTGTAAGCTGTTGACTAGGCAACACTGTGAATAGTCGCATTTATAGCGAGTACCAATAACTCTGTTATTCTTCAGCTCTTGTCCTGGCTGCCCAAGGGCCTAATTCTGCCTTAGGGTCTACAGTATTGCTGAGCATCAGACACTGTACCCAGGGCTAACACAGAGAGCCCGGTAAACGGGGGCCAGGGAAAGATGAGCGATCCTGACAGGACAGAGCGAAGCATAGTTAGCAGGTGGAAAGGGGTGGGGGGGTCGTAAGGGCAGGTGACAGTCTCACAGAAATGGTAGAAGTAAAGGGGCAGAGGTAAGGGGGTCTGTGGAGCCTGGTGGGGAGGATAGATGATTCTTGCTCTTTTGTTTTGGAGTGGAAAGAACTGATCAGTGAAGGATTTTTAGAGCCCAATTTAATCTTTGATCCTTTGGAATCTACAAGGTTCAAAAAGTAATTCAAAGTTCCATCAAGTAATTGTCCTTCTGCTACAAAAATGCAATAGCCTTTCCCCCTTAGCACTAGCTAAACAGAAGAAAACAGTTTGAGAGGCAGGCTGTAGTGTGGGTTTGTCTCTTGGCTTCATCTTTGACTAGCTGGGTGTTTGGGATAAGGCATTTTACTTCTCATGCCCCTCTTTCTACAGATACTGTGTTGATATGTGAGAAGCCCTTAAAAGAGTAGCACTCAATACATGCTCCTAATTATTAATGGATATTTAAAGATGACACGTTTTGCATGGGACTGTAATGTCACCATGCACTTGCCAAAATGTATACAATGTCCAACACCCAGCCTCAACCCTAATGTCAAACACGGACTCGGTGATGACATGTCCAAGTTCGCTTTCTACTACTGTGGTGCACAATGACAGTGGGGAGAGTGGTATGTGTGGGGTCAGGGGACACACGGAACTCTGTCTTTTCTGCTCAATTTTACTCTGAACCTAAAACTGCTCTAAAAATTGATAATAAAAGACGTCATGTGTAATTTTTTCAATTACTGAAATGTTACAGTTGTTTTTCACTTTACAGATTACTAAAGAACCCTGGATCTCACCCTAACCATACACCTTTGAATTGAGGAAGACATTAGTGCTGGCGTGGCTATTTTACAGATACTGAAATGATGTATTTTTTTTTTTCAAAGATTTTTTACTATAGGGTTTGTGCACTCGCCTGAGACAGAGTGAGAGAAAGTGAGAAATCAGCCCCTCACAGGGGGATGGCTACGCCACAATCTCTTCTCCTCTTGAGATTTTTGGCATGCACGCATGTGTGCCTGGTGAGTTTCAAGCCACTGGGTCTGGGACTTGAACTGTTGTCAGCCATGTGGGAGTCCAACGCTTTAACCACTACACCACCTGCTGGTCCTGGGATGCTGAAATACTATTTTTTATTTTTTAATCTTTTTTTTTTGGAGAGGTTTTCGCTATAGGGCGTGTGTGCTCACCAGACAGAGAGAGACATGTACCCAGGGCTAACACAGAGAGCCCGGTAAACGGGGGCCAGGGAAAGATGAGCGATCCTGACAGGACAGAGCGAAGCATAGTTAGCAGGTGGAAAGGGGTGGGGGGCGTCGTAAGGGCAGGTGACAGTCTCACAGAAATGGTAGAAGTAAAGGGGCAGAGGTAAGGGGGTCTGTGGAGCCTGGTGGGGAGGATAGATGATTCTTGCTCTTTTGTTTTGGAGTGGAAAGAACTGATCAGTGAAGGATTTTTAGAGCCCAATTTAATCTTTGATCCTTTGGAATCTACAAGGTTCAAAAAGTAATTCAAAGTTCCATCAAGTAATTGTCCTTCTGCTACAAAAATGCAATAGCCTTTCCCCCTTAGCACTAGCTAAACAGAAGAAAACAGTTTGAGAGGCAGGCTGTAGTGTGGGTTTGTCTCTTGGCTTCATCTTTGACTAGCTGGGTGTTTGGGATAAGGCATTTTACTTCTCATGCCCCTCTTTCTACAGATACTGTGTTGATATGTGAGAAGCCCTTAAAAGAGTAGCACTCAATACATGCTCCTAATTATTAATGGATATTTAAAGATGACACGTTTTGCATGGGACTGTAATGTCACCATGCACTTGCCAAAATGTATACAATGTCCAACACCCAGCCTCAACCCTAATGTCAAACACGGACTCGGTGATGACATGTCCAAGTTCGCTTTCTACTACTGTGGTGCACAATGACAGTGGGGAGAGTGGTATGTGTGGGGTCAGGGGACACACGGAACTCTGTCTTTTCTGCTCAATTTTACTCTGAACCTAAAACTGCTCTAAAAATTGATAATAAAAGACGTCATGTGTAATTTTTTCAATTACTGAAATGTTACAGTTGTTTTTCACTTTACAGATTACTAAAGAACCCTGGATCTCACCCTAACCATACACCTTTGAATTGAGGAAGACATTAGTGCTGGTGTGGCTATTTTACAGATACTGAAATGATGTATTTTTTTTTTTTTCAAAGATTTTTACTATAGGGTTTGTGCACTCGCCTGAGACAGAGTGAGAGAAAGTGAGAAATCAGCCCCTCACAGGGGGATGGCTACGCCACAATCTCTTCTCTTCTTGAGATTTTTGGCATGCACGCATGTGTGCCTGGTGAGTTTCAAGCCACTGGGTCTGGGACTTGAACTGTTGTCAGCCATGTGGGAGTCCAACGCTTTAACCACTACACCACCTGCTGGTCCTGGGATGCTGAACTACTATTTTTTATTTTTTAATCTTTTTTTTTTGGAGAGGTTTTCGCTATAGGGCGTGTGTGCTCACCAGACAGAGAGAGACAGAGAGACAGAAAGCGAGAAATCACCCCCCAGGGGGTGATGGTCACGCCGCAATCCCTTCTCCTCCATTCTCCTCTCGGGATCCTGGGCACGCACGCACACGCACCCGGTGTGAGTTTTAAGCCACCGGGTCTGGGACGCAAACCGCGGTCGACTACGTGGGAGTCCAGCCACATAGCCATTACGCTAACTGCTGGTTCCCCTGAAATACTATTTTTAAAATCTAGTTCTGAATTTTCTGATGGAGGAGCCTGTGTAACAGCCTGCTTCACCCTTAATACAGCTGTTTCTAACTTGGTTAACTGTTTTGCATTTAAGCACCAAGTCATATATCTGCTTGTCAGGGGACCAGGCCTACCTAATGTCATTTACAACTGGCATAGGTCCATGAAATAGTATGTTGGGAGAGTTTTCAGGAGTACATAAAAATTATGGGCTTTTATCTCAGACCAGCAGCCGTTCTGTGGTGTGGAAATGAGGTGGGGGAGGGGGTGGGGTGGAGTGCTAAAGGAGTTTGCAACCTGTAACCATTTTTAGATTTCCACTAATATATTAAAGAACTTGACAGGAAAAGGTTCAACACCACACTTTAGGATTTAGTTTCTCAGTTCTAGACATTTTAAAGACTATTTTCCTAGTAATATCTGATTTGATTCTCACAAATCTGGAGAAGCAGGTATCATTGCGATCTTATAAGAATGGAAACTGAATTGCCCCGAGGTTAGGAGGGTTGTGGCACAGTCAGAAAACCAGCAGGCCCGGACTCTACCTAGTCTACAGCTGCACTTAGAAAAAGTGAAGGAAGTTCCTGACTGCTGTTGTCCAAACATGCCTTCTTTCAAAGAAAAAAATAAATACTAATCGCATCTTGGCAGTTTTAATGGGGTTTGGCAAATTCTGTGTTTGACCACATTCCCCCCTATCTATCTAGGATCTTTTTTCACCTGAAACATATGTTTTTAAAAATAGAACACACTTGGGAAGTACATTTCAAGATGAAAACTAAGTGAAAGTTACTTAAGGACATTTTAAACATGTTTAAGGCTACACGTTGTTGACAGTGCACACACTGAGTAAGTGATACACAAAACAGATTTCGAATTTTTGTTTGCTTCTGAGAGAAGGCAGCAAGGAGAACTCTGCAGTGTGGTATCTGTGATGCAAACAGGCCAGCTGTGCTTGAGAGATAGCTATGCCCTGGGGTGTGACTTGCCATGGAGCAGAGAGCTGGTCCCCTTACCTGGGGCCCTGTGGAGAAGCTGTGACCAGATCCAAAACTAGACTCCAGGGCAATTCATTGTGCAGGTCTGCTGGCAAACACTGCTCACTGTCCCAGGGGCCCAGCATCAGAAATCAAAAATCAAACAAAACACCCCAAAACTCTTGAGCAGAATCTTACTGTAAGAATCAGATGAAATGAGGGTAATTTTTAACACCCTTAAACGAATACAAGAAAGCATCGTTTCCTAGAAAAGGAAGAGAATATAAGAGTAAATTAAAGCAATGACAGGAAAAAGTAGGTGGGTAAGTTCAAAGATGTACAACGATAAAATTCTTACCAGAAATAGAGTGACACTAAAAATCAGGCCAGTCATGAAATGAAAAATGAGGTTTTCCTAGCATGAAGAAAGGAAAAAAAAAGAGATGATAAAGGACACTGAGAAAAGACAAAAGTGTTTTGGAGGAAAAAGAAGTAAAAACAGGCTATTTTATCAAATTGTAAAAAAAGTGGAAAGATTGAATTTACTTTTGTTTAAGACAAAAGTCACTGGAGAGACCTATTTATAGATTGAGGCAAGTTCCTTTATTACAGGGAAAAGTAAAAAACAAACAGAAAAATAAAATGTACAAGGGAAGAAAAATTAGTCGTCTCCAATGTCTCTTCTGCAATTGTGCCAGGAGACAACAGACCATCAATAGGCTTCTCAAAGAAAATGCACTAAGAGCTGTATGCCTAGCTGACTTTCAGGCATGAAAACAAGAGAAATAAGAAGAGGGGCTGCTAAAGAAAGCTGCATGGGGACCAGAAGATGGTGTAATGGTTATGTCACTAGACTTCCACATAGTTGACTGCAGTTCGAGTCCCAGACCCAGCAGCTTGAAACTCATACCAGGCATGTTTGTGTGCATGCCCAAGATCCCGAGAGGAGACTGGAGAAGGGACTGCAGTGAGGCCATCCCTCCCACTCCCAGGGGTTGATTTCTTACTTTCTGTTTCTCTGGCAAACACATGCACCTAATAGCAAAAATCTCTTAAAAAACAAAAAAGCTGGACAAAACAGTGTCAGCCAGTCTGTGTATTCATGAGCTTGTGTTTGAAATGAGGAAGGAATTGTTCATTGTTCTTACTATGACTTGTAAATTAAGTTCCTTTTTTTTTTTTTTAAGAGAGATTGTTGCTAATAGGGCATGTGCGGTCGCTGACAGAGACAGAGAGACAGAAAGCGAGGGTGATTACCCTCCCCAGGGGGCATGGCTGTGCTGCAATCCCTTTTCCTCCATTCTCCTCTCGGATCTTGGGCACACGCGCACACATGTCCAACAAATCCTCAAGTTCTGAACTTCAGTATTTTTCTTTAGCTAAAATGACTCCAAATAACATTTTGTTTGTTGTTCCCCTCTAGGGCCTGTGGGCTTGCTGGGGGGAGAGAAATAGAGAAAGTAGGAAACCACCCCACCCCCCTCCAGGGGGCTGGCCATGTTACAATCCCTTCTCCTCCATTCTCCTCTTGGGATTTTGGGCATGCTTGCAAATGTGCCAGTGTGTTTTTCAGGCCCATGTCTGGGACTCAAACTGCAGTCAGCCATGTGGGATCAAGCGCCCTAACCATTCCGTCATTTGCTAGCCCTCCAAGCAATTTTTTAAAAACAAATACACATGGGGGCCAGCAGATGGCGTGTTGGTGAAGGTGCTGGATTTCCATGTGGCCAACCAAATCCTGGACCTGGCGGCTTGCTTTCTCACTTTCCCTCTCTGTCTTCCTTTCTCTGGTGAGCACATGTGCCTTATAGCAAATTAAAAGAAAAAATAATAACAACATTAATAATTCTTTAAAAAAGACAAGTGCACATAGTAGGTTTCTCTGAGCTCTCTGACTTACCTAGCAAGTACCCTCTGTCCTTTGCCCTCCATAGGTACCTTTTGTGTGTTCCCAGAACCTGGCAGACAGTGGGCATCAACAAACACCACGCACAGTGAGGGCACAGTCAGAATTCTGTGCACACTCTATCAAGGGGAGCGGGTGTGCACTACCCTTATTCTGGACTGATTTTTCTGATGAAATTTAGAATTCTTTCAGTAGAAAATAATGTGGATAACATTACAGGTTGAAATTGTGTTTTATTTCAAAATGATAAATAACCCAAGGCATTGTTCTGACCATGTACTGCTTCTGAAGTCTTGTGAAGTTAGAAAAACAGTTCCAGAGAGTTCCAGTCAGACCCAGAATGATCCCAACCACACTTGTGATTGGCAGAGATGGCCTCTTTGATCTTTAGGAATTTTTAAAAGTTTTCCATCCTAATTGCTGAATATCATAAAAAGTAAAAAGCGCTTCTATTTTGTCACTTTTCCTTTAAAAATGTTTTCAGTGGCAAACAGGACTACTTGTTTTCTTCTCTTTGTTTTTATGAGCACAGTAGTTACATGTCAACTCATGGCTCATCCACCGACGGCTCACATAAATAGTACTCATGTTCGTGTTATCACTTCTCCCACAAAAAGCAATAAAGTTATGCTTGTAAATTGTAAGTACAGTAGTAGCAGTTCACACATATTTGATACGCTTCCACACAAGGATTCAGTAAACAACAATAAATATAATTTCCCCTCTTCAAAACAAAAAAGGGGTTTACAGGGAAAAAGGGGTTCATTTGCTTGGGGTTTCTCAGCACACGTTTTTAGTGTGCTTTGACAGAATTAAAAACCATGAAACTGTATTCATTGAATACTGGCCCATAGTTACATTTCTTTTAACCTGGATTAAATACATACATCATGGCTTTCTATTAAAATCCTTAAATCTATGGGGATTTATGGTAGATAAGACTGTATTAAAATTTTTTTCCCTCATTAACAATTTCATTAAATTAAAAAAAAAATCTGACATTTCCCTTAATGTTCAGTTGAAGCCTGATCTATGCTGCTGTGTCCTGTGAAATGAACCTAATTTTCCAAGTGGATGGGAACGCCTGAGTGGCCATTTAGAGTGCTGCGTTTTCCGTCCCTCATGATTCATGTTGGGTCCTCTTCGCTGAGGCTTTTCCCTGAGTCATATATTTACTGGAAAGGCTGCCTAGAGGAGGGGAAGAAACAAAACCCGAGGTAAATGAGATGAGCCTCACTTTATCACAAAAGCCGTCATGTTGTTTCTTACTGTAAATCAGTCATGGAAACTGTCCCCACTGGGTTAGATGCTAGTGTTGTACCAAGTAATTAGGCTAGACACAAAAAAGTATATATGAGTATAACCTATTAAACACGAGCTTGATCAAACTCCTGTCTCTCTAAATGCACGTTAAGTTGCTAGAATGATATCATTTTAATACATTTAGTGTTCATATTTCCATGTTGGTGCAGAGGGCCAGGTGAACCCCCTTTATCAAAGGTTCTGCTCTGTGCAGATCATATCTTCGTTTGCAGCCAAGTGGAATACTTCACAAAGAATCCTCTGGCCAGAAAGACAGAACCTGTGTCATTACTCTGCAGATGTGAAGCTGTGGATGGTGACACTGGAGTAATAATTCATGGACATAAAAGAAAAAAGGGAATAGACTATGTTTACAAATAGACAAGTATTAGTATTAGTAATTGAAACTGTAACCCAGGATAGTTACTAAATTTTGTTCTGCAGTCTGAGCAAATAGATCAATGAAACAAAAGAGAATTAAGATATTCTTTTTCCTTTGGAGAGATTTTTGCCATTGGGTGCGTGTACTCACCAGAAAGACAGAGACAGAGACAGAAAGTGAGAAATCACCCTCCATGTGGGATAGACATGCTACAATCCTTTCCTCTCCATTCTCCATGCGGGATTTTGGGCGCACATGCGCCTGGCTTGAGTTTCAAGCCACCAGGTCCAGGACTCGAACCACAGTTGGCCACATGGCAGTTCAGCACCTTAACCACTACTCCACCTGCTAGCCCAAAGACTTGAGAATTTTTTTTTTTTTTGAATGCTTTTTAGCTATAGAGTGTGTGTGCTTGCTGGAGAGAAAGAAAGACAGAAAGTGAGAAATCACTCCTAGGGAGAATGGCCAGGCCATAATCTCTTCTCCTCTTGGGATCTTGGGTGTACATGCATACATGCCCGGTGTGAGTTTTAAGCCACCAGGTCTGGGACTTGAACTGCAGTCAACTACATGGGAGTCCAACAATGTAGCCATTTTGCCCAGTAATTGAGAATTTTAAGTGATATATATTGGATCGTTGGAAAAGTCATGATGCATTTTTGCCCAGAAAAGCACAGAAAACTATGTCATGACTTCTCTGACAACCAAATAACATAGTAGTATATAATGAAGGTTGCATTTCAGACCAAGGGGAGGGTAAATCTGGATTATACAATAAGTGGTATTATGTCAAATAAGTAATTTTGATGGGCTGAGGAAGAAGGGAGTTAATTTCTTTTCTCACACCATAACCTCTTTCTCCACCCATTTCCAAATGAATTTCAGAATGAAATGCAAGTATAAGAAAGTTGAAGTATAAGAAGCAGAGAATATATAATTATAAGGAGTGGGGAAGAGTTTTCAAGGTACACCTAAAGACTCATAAATCAATAGAGAAAAGATGATCACCAAGAAATAACTGAGTAAAAAAAAAGCAATACATGAAAGAAAAAAAAATTACATGAGGATATGAAAAATTATCTATTATCAATGGGTAATCAACAAAATGTAAATTAAAACAAGATACAGATTTTTGAAGGAAGAAAATCAGGAAGACAAGAAAGGTCGGTAGAAATTTTGCTCAATGAAGATTCAAAGAAACCTTACAGTAAAACTTGATGATACAAGCAAATGTCTAAGTCTTGTGATATGACTCTAACATGTACCATGGGCAAAGCATCCCTCCCCAAAAGAAGGGAGACAGTCAAGTATAAAACCATATGAATAAACAAATAACCCACCAGTCGCATATTCAGTGCCTTATTTTCCTCACACGTTATGTGAGAACAATAATACCCACTCCCCCTGGGAGTTACTGTGAATGATAGTATCTAAATGCACATGTGCATGTGGTAGGTACACAAACCCTATCAAATATCTCATATATTCTCTAGGATGGGGGTCCCCAGCCCCTGACAGGACTTGCACCAGTCTGCATAGCAGGAGGTGAGTGAGCGAAGCTTCATCTGTATTTACAGACACCCCTCCCCAATTGCTCACATGCTCACATTATCGCCTGAGCTCCGCCTCTTGCCAGATCAGCCGGGGCATTGGATTCACACAGAAGCCCCCAGGTGGGACTGTCTAGTTGCAGGAAAATAAGCTCAGGGCTCCCATAGATTCTGCACTATGGTAAGTTATAATTATTTCATTGTATATTACAATGTGATAATAACAAAAAAAAGCGCACAATAAATGTAATGCACTTGAATTATCCTGAAACTATCCTCCCACACCTCTGGTCTGTGGAAAAACTATCTTCCACGAAACCAGCCCCCAGTGACAAAAGGTTGGGGACTGTTGGTTTAGAAGATTCTCATAAGGATGTTCACTATGGTGCTGTTTTTAAGAGCAAAAAAATCAGTCAAAACCTCACTGTTCGGGACCAGTAGTTGGCGTAATAGATATGTCGCTGAACTCCCACGTAGTTGACCGTTGTTTGAGTCCTGGACCTCGTGGCTTAAACTCATACTGGGCTCATGTGTGTGCGTGCCAAAGATCCTGAGAGGAGAATGGAGGAGACAGGATTGTGGCGTGGCCATCCCCTGGGGGTGATTTCTTGCTTTCTGTCTCTCTGTCTGTCTTTTTGGCGAGCGCACCTGCCCTATAGCAAAAACCTCTCAAAAACCAAACAAAAAAACCTCACTGTTCATGTTTGTGTTCATACAACAAAATGCTGTAAAGAACAGTATTCACGACACATTTCTGCACAGAAAATATGTCATGACTTTCCAAAACACCTAACAAATAGCAACATATAAAAACTTACTCGGTTAATCAGACATGAAAATGTAGGGCATAGAATGTTATTATATACTATAATATGCTACTTAAATCTTAAAAGTTCAAAGAATTGGGCCAGCTCTGTGGGCTGGTGGTTAAGGTGGTCAGATCTCACATGGCCAACTGTACAGTTCCAGTCCTGTACCCAGTGGCTTGAGAAACTCGTGGTGTGTGTGTGTGTTTGTGTGTGTGCCTAACACCCCAAAAGGAGGGAGACAGAGGAGAAAGATTATGGTGTGATCATTCCCCATGGTAGGGATGCTTTCTCACTTTCCATCTCTCTTCTGCCAGTGCATGAGAGAAGGCATTTGCCCATAGGCAAATTAAAAAAAATATAAATGAAACAAGTGTCATTTCTCTAGAAGATGTTATTTGTGCCTGTGTATGGTTTTCCCAAAATGTTAAATACTTTTCTAATAGAACTAGCAGTTCTACTACCATATGACTTAAACACTTAAATATATAATACATTTTTTTTATTAGATTGGAACATTATGTAAAATATTTGTATTTAAAAACTGAAAGTACTGGGTCTAGCAGGTGGTGTGGAGTTTAAGGCAGCTCAATCTCACATAGCCAGTGCACAGTCTGAGTCCTGGACCTGGTGGCTTGAAACTCACATTGGATGCATGTGCACGTGTGCCCAAAATCCCAAGAGGAGACGTGGTTGCACTGCGGCCATGCTCACTCTCGTGCTACAGACACATGCCCTATAGCAAACTAAAAAACAGCAGCAAAAAGCAAGCAAAACAAAAAACCCAAAAATATTAAATTGGCTGGATTCCACACAGCTGACTGCATGGTTTAGTTCCTGGACCTAGTGACTTGGGAAACACACAGGGCGTTGTTTGCCTGTGTGCCCCAAGTCCTGAAAAGATGGAGAAATGGAGGAAAAGGGATTATGGTATGAGCACACCCCATGAAGTGCACTTTCTTTACCCTCTCTCTGGTAAGCATATGCGTTCTCTGGCAGATTAAAAAAATAAAAATAAAAAAGGTGTGTCAATTTCTGCTTCTCAACTTCTACACACACTGTCTCTTAAAACTAGTATGTCTGAGAAACCTCTGTGGTCAAAGGTTTGGCTGGTTCTTAGGAAGCACTTGGGACCAGCAGTTAGCGTAATGGCCATGTCGCTGGACTCCCAAGTAGTCAACCGCGGTTCGTGTCCCGGACCCGGTGGCTTAAACTCACGCCGGGTGTGTGTGTGTGTGCCCAAGATCCCGAGAGGAGAATGGAGGAAAAGGGATTGCGGTGTGGCCATCCCTCATGGAGGGTGATTTCTAGCTTTCTGTCTCTCTGTCTCGTGAGCACATGCGACCTATAGCAAAAACAAAACAAAACAAAAACAAAAACAACAAAAAAAACCTCTCCAAATAAAAAATAAGAGAGAAAAAAGGAATCACTTCATTTTTCCTTTCCAACACCCTTTGACAATCACTTGTCTCCTACTTTACAATTCGAAGAATCCCTCCTAACCATCTGGTCTCACTGGAGTGCACTATCTGGGTGTATAAAAACCTTGGGAGATGGGGAAGCAAGCAAGTGTTAAGTAAGTATTGTTTTCTGTGGATGCCAGATGATCAGCAATTCCAATGAGTATCTACCCAAAATACAGGAAAACACTCTGTTGGAAAAACACTTGCACATCCATGTTTATTGCAGTGCAATTGTTAAGATATGGAATTGATCTAAATGTTTAAGAACTGATACATGGATAGAAAAAGTGTAGTTCATGTGCTCTACAGAATATGACTCAGCCATAAAAACAGTGAGATCCTGCACTTGATAGAAAGTAGATGACTACTGGGACCAGCAGTTAGTGTAATGGCTATGCCACTGGACTCACATGTAGTTGACCGCGGTTCAAGTCCCAGACCCGGGGGCTTAAACTCACGCTGGGTGCGTGTGCATGTGTGCCCAAGATCCCAAGTGGAGAATGGAGGAGAAGGGATTGTGGTGTGGCCATCTCCCCTGGGGGATGATTTCTCACTTTCTATCTCTCTGTCTCTCTCTGTCTTTCTGGCAAGCGCACACGCCCTATAGCAAAAACCTCTCAAAAAAAAAAAAGAAAGTGGATGTCCATGGAAGACTTACTGCTAAGTGAAGCAAGCCAGGCTATGA